CGTTCTTGCAGAGTTCAATTAAGTACCTTGGACTTCCTGAACACAGACTTCCGGTCTCGAGGGCCAGCGCGAGAAGTAAGATCTTCTTCCGGTTAATCTTCGTCTGCAAATTTTTACCTGCGGTAAAAATTTATTCCTGAAGATGGAGGCAAACCGTAAATCCAGATATGAGAACCCCGAAGATGAACATCGGCAATGAAGAATTGCGGGTTGCATAGCCTCCTATCAACACTTCCGGCCTCAACTGCCCAAAAGTCTCTCGATTCAACATCGGCGTTACTCCAGAAGTTTCTTCGAGGGCATCTCTTCCTTCCTTCGTGCTTTCGAGACGCTGCAGGCCGTCTCAGGTTCTGACGTGCAGTGGTTCAGCACACGAAATCGCTCACTTGTGATGCTAATTCTTAAGGACAACACGGTTCGTTTGCTGAAGTTACTGTGTTGGAAATTATTCGTGGAATCTGCTCGCACTTAACCTCACACAAACAGGGACGAGCTGTCAGAGTATCGACTCGTAAGATAGCCCTACAGCGTCTCAGAAACTGGAAGTTTCCTTCCTAGCGCTGTACATGCAAATAAAGTCCCCAAATGAGTCACAAAACTCGGTTTAAGAAGACGTCACTCACAAAGTTTCTAACTTCCTGAAGTGAACACCAAATGTCTTTATGAAAGAGCGAGGTCAAACATTTCCTAAGGGGTTCCTGAATAATGACCTTCACTATAACCTTAAATTGTCTGAGAAGTACACGACGTTTCGGAAGTTAGCTCCATTACCTTCAGATGACTGGTTGTTATGTAAGACTTGAGGTTCTCACAGCGGAAATCTTCATACTCTGATGACGGAGGCAGTATGCCCTCTGAAACGTTGGTAAACATCGACCAGACTACACAGCGCCAAAACCCAGAAGACGGAAATCTTCATACTCTGATGACGGAGGCAGTATGCCCTCTGAAACGTTGGTAAACATCGACCAGACTACACAGCGCAATAACCCAGAAGACGGATATCGACTGGTTGTTATACTGACGAATTATTACCTTTTATTCTAAGATCAACGGCGAAGACCGGGATACAACCCGAGAACTTTTGAACGCCACGCTAATATACGACTCCAACATGCCATCGAGGCGACTGCATTACAGCCAGCTCCCGAAACGTCGTACATATGAACAAACGTCACATAATGGGTAATATTATGAGGTAGAGCCCTAAAACCGAATACAACTTTCATAAGCAAAGGAAGTTTGCGTTAAAATAAATGACCCTAGCGATAACATGATTCTCTCCTCCTACGCTGGAAACAGAGGCGACATATTCCTCCGAAACGTCGGTAACTATAACAGTACTACAGCACAATGCAACAGCTAATTATTGGTATTACAGTTTTATGATATTAGGTCAATGGCGATGAATCATGAAGCTGTTTGGATCAGAAATTTCCAGAGTCGACGCGGCACTCGCCATTTTGTATTTTTCTCTTAACGAACGGTGGGAGACTCGAAAGCAACGCTAAACCGTGCATTGTTTAAGAGCATGATTGATGCTTCTTTGTGGGACATCACAAAGTTGCGATGTTGTTTTGTTAGCGGTGGCGTTTAGAGTTACTAATGACCAGCTTTTGAGGTCTTAAACACCTCGCGAATTGTCCTAACCAGAAATCATTAACACAGGTAGGTACACACTACCTCAAAACAAACACGTTCATTCAGTCATGTCATGAGACTGAGAATTTAAATCCTATTATCGACCAAAACTTTAGAAACGAACATCGATTTAAACGAGAGAATAAAAATTTTGGCAGAAATCTACCATCTTTTTTTTTTATCTACGAATAGCGAACATTTTGAATCAAGAACACTTCGTTTCTGTATCTTGCTTAAAATATAAACAAAAAAATTTAAAGATTTACGAGCATTGCGTAGCGTTTGCATAAATCATTCTCACGTGGATGAACTCTTCTGTGTCTTAGATTCCCATTAAAGCTGTGTTTGCAGACTTCTGTCTGTCTGCACTCACCTCCACCTAACTGCGTTTATGTTCAACTTAATACTGGCAATAATAGTTTATGAGATGGGCACGGCACGCAGCATGCACGTAACAAGTGATAAATGCACAACGTTTAGTCAGAAAATCCGAAAATAGGAGACCATTAGGTAGACATAGGCGTAGATGGAAAGATAATATTGTAATATTGAAATCGAATTTGGGGCTGTAGATTGGATTCAGAAAACGCCCCAATGCTCTGTTATCTCCTTCTCAAAAAGATATTTACTTTAAATAAGTTAAACGTTCTAATAATTGCGCCGCTCAGCATTTAAAATGTACCCAAAAAATGTAACACAATTTTAATTACATCTCTGAAAACATTAAACAAAAGCGTAGATTGTTTTAAAAACCTAACTTAAACTGTTGTGTAGGTTTTCTGCGATATTTCGATTCTTTAAGCCAAAGGTTCTCAGAGTTTTAGTACCCCTGACGAAATCAAAGAATAGTCTGGTACCCCACCCAAAAAAGAAACAACCTACTTTCGTATTTCTGGCAGAAAAAACGTAGACTCGTACATTTACCTTTGCTGAAATCCTACACTTTCAATTTTAATTAACGCTGTAAGTATGTACAGGGTGTCCATAAAGTTCCTTCTGAACTGTAGCTACGAAATATTCAAGACCTATAAAGTAACCATCAGCCTTAAGCGTGGAACAAAATATCTGCGGGATCAAACAATGTGCAAAGAACGGAAGGTATGCTGTAATGGCAACTCCGAAAAGCGTATCTGGTACCACAGATTGAGAACCAGTTTTATAGCGGATGGGCTCTGGGACCCACCCAGCCCGTAACAACGATCATTAAGAATTTTAAGTTGCATCTCTGCTCGTACATCTTCAGGGCTTGACGTCACATCAAACGCAAGATCCTGTCCAAAAATCAAATGAACAGTGCGCGAATTACACATTCGAATGTTCAGCTCTCCGTGGTAAACGTCGTGTCGTATATTAACATATAATTAATAATTATCGCAGTGCAATTTCGAGCCGTACCTCATATGGTTTACATTACGTAAATCCCGCGACTGGGTACGATCCTGAGCCGGTTTAATCCCGTTACGTATTCTGTTCGATTATTGTCCAAGAAACAGGCTTTTGTGTTCGATTGTACGTGGTCTTCCTCAGCATCTTTCAGACAATAGTCCATAACCTTCGCCCCCCTCCACGTTATTAATAACCACCCCTAACCTACGTTTCATAATCGGCACTTGTTACGCAGTTAAGACGTCATTAAACATTCTATTATTAGAAAGCATCTTAAGTAAAGAGAGTCTAATCTACGTCCATCAGTGTCAAATTGCTTTTCAAGAACAAAATATGTAAGCAGAATGATGACAAGGCTGATTCACAAGCAGCTGGTGATGAACCAGGGTCCTTTTGAAACTCATTTTTTAAGAACACGCTGTCCACTGAGGGACCCAATCATGGGGTTTCGTTTGGCCAGCATCTGCATCGAACATTCAAAATACAATTTGAATGGACCACTTTAGTTCTTATCTTCCAATTCTGTTGCCGAGAGACCTACTTTTCTGTGGCTTAATCCAAAAATTGATACCTGTTCTCATCACTGCACACTGTCCCAGCTTCAAACCTAAATCTTATCAGCGTTATCTCATTAATAGCATCCAAGAGAATCGTCAACTGAAATCAGTCCCTGTACAGACATAAACTAGTCACTTTCTCATCTTGGAAAATCATCGCTGTTCAAATCTGCTTCTTGAAATCAAAGTCGTGTGCGTACGTTCACTCGCCAATGCATCCTTCCTCTATGTTCCGTAATGCTCTCTCACATATTTCAATGAACACGTAATTTCTTCCAAAAGCAAACTGAAATGCTGAACTGTGTTCTGAAAGTACTGACTGAGCACGCTTCTAGTATAGAGTTCACGATTCATTAATAATTCCAAGACACGCGGCTGACAATTCTTATGTAGCAAATTTCTCTCTGCTTACAAAAATGTGGTCATATTATCAGATATGACCCAAAGCATTATTTACATAACCACACAAATATAAATCTCCAGTCATTTGCACCTCAACTTCTACTAACATATCAATGTTTACTTATGAAGACGTCATCGGATATATCATAAAAAATTACCACTTACTTTATCTGAATCTGTAGCTTCTAGTTCCTCAGTAACAAATATTTAGTCTTGGATTTAAAAGCTGTCAGTAATACATGGTCGAGAATATTAACAGGCACATAAATGAATAGGATTCAAATAAAATGTGATAGTATACATGAAAATAAAGTCCTGCTGGGTCATTCATAATTATGGTTATGTTTCCACTTATTTTCACTGTGCTATAAAATGTTTTGAATATGACTACAAATAATATCTTACTTACGGTTTTGTATTGCAAAGTAATTCAGAAGTAATCTGCTCACTCGTGGAAGATAGAAATAAAAGAAAAATTCTTTGGTTATGGTCACAGCAGTTTCACATCAACAACCACCAGTGTTAGCAATGAGAATCACTCTAATGAAGTTCTGCAAGAACACAGCCATCTACATACCAAAGCTGTAGTTCTCAGTACTGCATGGTAGATGGACCATGAAAAATTTACCTTCCATAAATATTAATTGCTTTATTTATATAACTGAGGGGGATAAGTGACTTGTGTAATTTAAACACTTCCAACCAGCCAACAGTCTAATATAGCCAGAAAGAAAATTATAAAATACTTTGAATTATGGATGATTCCTTTATGGGCATCTTTTTAATTTTTTAACACTCTTTATGAACAGAAGTTCAATTTATCTTCCAGTCTCAACAAAATCTAAATAAAGCTTTCACAGACAATGCAACAGGCATTACATATAATGGGCATGGGAAAAATACAAAATGTGCACAAAATTTTGGTTAGAAAACTTTATGGAATGAGACCACAATGCTAAGTTGATCTCAGGAAAGTAGGTTAGGTTTGTGAACATGTGAAAGAGACTGAAATGGTTCAATAAAGAACTATAAACTTTTATTGCACAAGGACTTGAAAGTAATTTAACTCAAACAAAATTTTCATTAGATTTAATTCAAATGAGCAATTAAGAATGAGTTATTATGAAATGTCATTAAATAAAGCACAAATAACACGCGCCCTGGACTTGTTACAGACGAATGTTCCCAGTGGTGAAGGTGAGCGTCACAGGACTAGATCCACAGGCCATGTACAGCGTATTGCTGGAGTTTGTACAAATTGACCCACACAGGTAAGAAAGTTTTATAATGTAGGAGCGAAGGGTAGTTTCATGGGTGGTGGAGAACAAGTGAATTAGGTGGGAGGCCAACAGTGAGAAGGAGATGAAGAAAAGTGATGTCCTGTGGAATGATAAAACCATTCACTGCTTTACAATTCTAGACACATCTCTATCAGCCCAATGAAGTGGGAGCACAAAGTAGGCAGGGACATATGAAGGTTAGACTTAAAAGTTGGCATGGCGTCTGCATGGGGAGTTGAAGCAGAAAACTAAATATTAGATCCGGCCAGGTTTATAAACTAATGCCCTTGGTGAGGCCAGCAACTCTCCGATGGACCACTAGGTTCCTATTACATTCTAATGCTTGGTGTGAACATGTACGCATTATTATGTACTGCAACTGATCACGCATCATGTTCAAATATAATCGCTACAGGTGGAAATACGTGAACGGGGAATGGGTGCCCGGTGGCAAGGCGGAAGTGCCGCCACCCAACCCTATTTACATGCACCCAGAGTCGCCCAACTTCGGAGCACACTGGATGAAGGAGCCCGTCTCATTCGCTAAGGTGAAGCTCACAAATAAGACAAATGGGAATGGACAGGTGAGTGAAGTGAAGAATGAGGTGTTTCAGCGATGATCAGAGGCTTCTCCTCGTTGTCTACCGTGAGCTTCGCAGGAAGTTCTTACATTTTTAAAACTATTGTTATCTCAAAAAATTCTACTCTAAACCGCATACTTGTTGTACACTTTGACAGAACTGTACGTTTAAGACTTGCTCCAGCAAGCCACCAAAATACATCTCAGAAGCGAGACCTGGATAATTTCATAACCTCAATGCCACACAGTTACAAATAAAGAAACGTGAACTATTTTTGGTGATGTACGCTGGTGGACCAAAGTGGAATAGGATAAATTCTCACTGGTAAATGGACCAACACTGGACCCTATTATGATACATTCAGATGTGTCGCATCTGGAAAAGAAAAGTAGAATTATATATTGCAAAATAAATTATCTGAACTTTGAAAAGCATGCCAGAAAACTGAATTCCAAATCTGCTATACCATTATAATCCAAAGGGCATAAAAAATGTTCCAACTTGTTTGCAGATCATGCTAAATTCTCTACACAAATACGAACCGAGAGTGCACCTGGTAAAGGTGGGGTCTGAACTGCGACGTGTCCTCACATATCCTTTCCCAGAGACTCAGTTCATTGCTGTCACTGCATACCAGAATGAAGAGGTAAGTTGCGCTTTTAGAATGTTACCTTTCTGTTCACATGCACACACGGTCCCTCAACCATAACACAACATCAAATTACCAAATCCTTAAAAAAAATTGGCAAATTTGAAATATTTGCGAGTGACAGTAAGAAATAAAAATTCCGCTCATCTAAGATAATTGTTACAGGTTACAGCATTGAAGATAAAGCACAACCCATTTGCAAAGGCTTTCTTGGATGCAAAAGAGAGGCCAGACGGTTTCTACCAGCGGGATTTCATGCCCAACTACCCACAGCCGCAGCAACCGCAGTACACACAATGTGAGTCTCTTACTGTACAGGATGTACTTTGTGCTCCTCAGTGGATTTAACGTGATCTCTGCTGGTTATTTCAAAGGGTGACACAAACAGGAATCAACATGTTTATTAGAAAAAACATTATCAAAATAAAATACATTGTCTTTCCCAGTGATTATATTCTTCTGTGTAACCAATACTTTCCAGTATCAGAGTGAACTATTAAATGGATCCGGATTATCAACATTTCTCTGTCAGATGGATCCTGGTTCCTGCCACAGGGAGTGTACCCTGGTACATCACATCACCCTGGACTGCCTCCACCTGCTCTGGCACCTTGCGATCGTTTTCCGTCTGCCACCGCAGTACGCACTCAGCGCAGCTCGCCATACCAGCCACCACGTGTGAGATCTCACTCACCACCTCATTCAGGTGAGTAATTCTGACATAAAGGTGCGAGAACTAAGGTCCAAGAGTCACGAACAACTGGATATTCCTTTCCTGACTACTGCCCTAATGCCGTAAGCCACCTAACGATTTCATAATATTCATTTTATACAGAGGTCTCTGTGTTATCTGTGGATCACAAATCATACTTCGAGCAAAATGTTGCATGATTTTTTGTTTTTCCCATGCACATCTCACGTCCAATCACTTTCATCCTTGTTGATGTAAGAACATTAATTGAAAAACATAACATAATTTTCAGCAGCCTTTGAGCCTCAGGCCACAACGGCACCGGTCTTCTCTCCGTCTGCAGCAAGTTTCGCGTGGTCCGTTTCTTCTCAGCCAGTCTCAACGCCACTGGGAAGCAGCACCATAAGCTGGCCCTCCACCCCCACCACTCTGTCATCCTCGCCCCCTCACGGCCCATCTCCCCATGCCACCGCGCCTCACACCCCATCTCCAACACACCACATCCAACATCATCACCCGATCATGAACAGTGCCATGCCGTCTGGACCCAGTTATGGCAGTTCAGGCGGTTGGCATCACGTGCCACCTGGCAGCACTAGTCCCGACCTCATCCTGAGCTCTGCACAGACTTACCACCAACATTACCAACCACCAAACACCGCCATATCAACAGAGTACATCCCAATAATTCAGGAACAAGTGCCAGCACCTTCTAGCTACCAAAGTCATGATTCACTAGGACATCACCACGCCGTGGGCTCACCACATCGCCACACTCCACCCCTATACGCTCATCACAGTGTTGAGAAAGTGGAGCCTGCGATGTCAGAAAATTACAGTGAGGATGGCGGGGGAGGGTCACCTGCGTCGAGGCAAGACTGTTGGAGTCCTCTAACCCCGCCACATACTGGCATATAACACAAGACTAGCATCAGCATCTGCGTAGAAATTAATAGGGCTGTGTTGTTTAGTTGCTTAGTGAACCAAGCGACTGGCATGCAAAGTAATTCCTTGCCAAATACAGAGGGTTGTCCCTGGAAACATAAATCTGACACCGCCAATTTAATAAGATATGCTCTACGGACACATAATCAAACTGCCTGTCAGCATTTAAATTACCACAAATGCATAAATTACACTTGAACATTGCAAAGTGACGTGCAATGAAAATTGTTCACTTTGCATTAATCTCTTTATACCTGAAATTCCTACATTCAACAGAAACAGAAAGGTGTCCCAGGAAATGAGAAAATAAAAAATACGGTTTGGCAAGGGATTACTATATTCTTAAACATGTAAGTGAAATATTCTGTTTCTGTAGGGTATTTAAATTAAAATATTTTCTATTCTGTAAGGATAATGTGTATACCTCCATTTTAGGGGCACGCAAGACGAAGTATGTTTTGTCAGCTGTAAGATAAGTTACAAATATTTTAAATTCTGAAACGTCATGACTGAATCAAAAATCAAGTGCCTTGAGCATTATTCAATTCCAAAATGGTACCCAAAACTTCGAGCATAAATTAATTAAATGACTGAAATAAATTATAATAAATTTGGATAATAGAGACAAGAAAAAGCACTTATCAGAGTAACGACTTGTGATGGGCTTTTCCAGTTCATAAGCAAAACTGAAAAGAAGATCCTTGCTATGACGAATGTCACAAATACTCTCAATGTTGCCATATTTATAATTCTTAACATATACACAAGTTTTAATCCCCCCATGGCAAAACATTTCTTGGCGTATGTACAGAAAGTTCATCTCTGGTGACAGGTTAACATTTTTTTAAACAGAAACGTGGACAAATCAAGATTAAAATTTTAAAAGAATTCCAAAAAGTATTTAATTTTTCATCTTCATGAGAAAGGAATACCACATACAAAAAGATAGGAACTTATTATAAAGGAATGACTGGTCGTCGTAACTCATGACTGAGTCTCTGATCTCAGGACACTGTAACATTTCTGGAGCTCAAGTGTCTGCCATGTTGGGTTTGTGACCACAGAATGAGCCTACAAACAAACTAATATAATACACACCAAATAGTTATCTGAGGTGAATGTTGATCCAGTCTACAAATGATGACACTCTTGAATAAACTCCAGGAAAAGATTTTGAGCCACAGCCAATGCCTGACGACACAACACCAACCAAGACGTGGACGTCACCTTCGCGTACCACAAGAGGCCCCCCTGAATCACCCTGCGAGATAGTAACACAGAAATTAAATAAACTATTAGTCGCTGGATAAGCTTGCGAACCCACAGTTTTCACCCGTGGTTGCCCGTGTTTGTTCCGGAACTGTTACTGCAAATAAAGAATTGTTTGAACAAAGACTGCACAATGTTATGTATTTTAATCTTGACATTTTATATGAAAGACAGGAAGACAAACATTTTGAATTTAATTTAATCGATATTTGGATGAGAATTTTTTGAGCCAAACTGAACGGAGAACTTTACTCGATACTGGCACTTCAGTGTTCATATTTTTCACTCAAGATGGCAATAATTCATTAAGAACTAGATATAAAACATACAAGAGTCCTCTTTTACAGAGATTTACATCAAACTGTGTGAGATGTTTCTACTTTTTGCCATGTATATTCCCCTTTGGCCTCCTTGATTTAACTACGGCAATATTAATACAAGAAAGCACAGAAAGTATAATTCGTCAGCATGTAACTTTGTCCATCCCCAGACTGTTCATGTCACTGATTACCAATTGTGCAGCGATATTCCGCGTACCTGGCACGCATCCTTGCCGCCATTTGGATCACCTGCACACAGCTGAGAGTTAATGATGCCTTCAGGGTAGTTACGCCGGGGAACGAGCGAACCAGAGTATGCCCTCATACAGTCACTGTTGTTGAAAATTGTCACACTGACTTCCTGCAACACAGGACTCCTTTCACCACCTGAAAACGATGATGTGCTTTACATAAAAACTGTTTTTGTTACTACAAAATGAAAGAGAGTTCAAATGTAGCATTGAGATTGCTGCAGTAATAAATGTCTCATATTTACCAAATGACAGATAGCCCCAACCTGTGAGGACAGCATGTTTTCCAACATAAGCCATCCTCTGCCTTGGCTCAGGCAGACAGACCGGTCTCACATAACGACTATACTCTGCCCGGCGAGATAATTTTAGTATCGCGATGTCATTGTAATACTTCGGAGGCTTATAGTTGGGATGAATGTGTATGCTATCCACAGATATATCCTCAGGACTGGCATCTTGTTCATCTGGTCGCGACAAGTCCAGTTCTCCAACTCGCACGACATCCGGAGACCTGAACGATAATTGGCATAACACTCGTACATTTAATTGTCTTCATTAGCAATTTATCAAGGCTTAGCCAATTTTCTCTACCTATATGCATCAGTACACTAGGAACTTTTTTGAAGCTCAGCCAATATTCTTCATAGTGGTACAAGGTATTTTTTTCCCAATGATAAAGGCAGCCAGAGCATGTAACTAAACACCCATCTCCATCCCTGACTAAGTATATGTGAAGCCCCTAACATAACTTCATAAAGCAATGCTTGGGCACAGAAATAATTTCACACCTTATATCACCTTAATACATCACCTGCGAGTACAACAATGAGCCGCCGTGAGGACTGTGTCGGCCTGCAGCATGGAGCCACCACAATACCAATCTACCGAACCATTCTCCTGCTGCTCACCAACTGCGACCATCCAAGGGGAGCTAGTGGCAGTTCGGAGAGGAATTCCACCGACCGCAGCTCCCAACATCTGATCACGAGGAACGTAAGACACATCTCTGTCAGCAGTGTACAGCATTCCACATCCTGGAAGATATTTGACCTATGTACAAAGCTAACACCAGTTATTAGAACAGAACTGTACACCCTACCACAAAGAACAGACATTATGACTGAATGCATGCACTGCAGTCCCAAAAAATACAATTTTCGAAAATGTGTGTCCAAAGAAGATGAATGGACCTGTTAAACAAAATACTCTCTGCATTTATAGACTGGTTCCTCCATGGCACACAGTCGTTCTTGAACAGATCACATAGTTGACCACCTGGGCAAAGCCCTTACTTTTACGAAATCCAAATGCCAATGTATCCTGTCCTGAGAAACTTGAATCATGTTTTCACAGCCAAATCCATTTTTTAAGATACATTTTGATACAATACTCCCTTGAAGTTTTATGATTCCCCGGACCTTCCTAATAACATATTCTAAAATAAAGTTTAAAAACAATGGTGATAGAGCACCTCCTTGCTTCAGACAATTCTGAATATACACCAGACACATGTTTACACAAACTTTATTACAGGTTCCATTTAAATACATTTTAATTAGTGTAACTAATCTCACTTATATAATTAAATCAAGAAGGAGATGATGGGTATGGTAGGTAGCATACATGAAATGAGCATTGCCTACTAAACATTAGTTAGTAAACAAACCTAAAAAGAAGAGATGGCTTGGGAGAATGATATAAAAATAGATATTATTGAAAAAGGATAAATACTTATCAGAATTCATGTGGCTCAGGATAGCGACTAATGGTAGGCTATTGTGAACATGGTCATAAACCTACAGATTCCATAAAAGGCAGAAACCTGACCAGCTGAGAGACTACTAGTTTCTCAGGAAAGGCTATTCATGGAGTTGCATACATTAAAAGATCTGCTCGGCAAGCAGCACATTACAAACTCACTCTTTCGCATGACAGGCTGAGGGCAGCAGACAAATGGCTCCATGCCATCCATTTGGCAATAGTACCAGCTTGTGGGGCAGACGGCCGCTGGCACACAGGACCACGGCTGTCCTCTGCTCTTCGGGCACTGAACAAGTCGAACAGATGCAAAATTTGTCATTGGACGCCATGATCCGATTACCTGGCCATCTGCATATTGAACTGAAAGTGGAGCTCATATCAAAACAATAACAAGAACAGTGGTGGTGATGATAACACAACGGTGATCAAATTACTATTAAAGATAATCCTCAAATAATTATTAAGAACGAAAATAAAAATACAATGATTAAGCCCTACACAGAGCCTGGTGGTTAAAATGCAGCAAAATGTAGATAAAACAAGAATACCAAAAGAAGCCTTTCATTATGCTCCAAAAGTATGAAGTGACATTGGCCATCCAAGAAAGAGATGGGAAGCTGAAGGCAAAACAGAAAGATTTCCTATGCCCTGAAGTGAAGATGATGATGAATTCTAGCTCAAGTAAAACACCTATAAGAATAAAGAGAATCCAAATGTATCTTAAACTTACTGGACAAACAATTTAATCATAAATTGTAAACGTTATAATGACAGCAGCAGACAGGCGTGAGATCACTCCTGGAATATCTACACGAAACTATTTAAGTAGACTTTAAACTACAAATATAATTGATGAGATGAAATGATCAGTTAAGTTGCACACTGAATTACAAGCAGGCAGGATGAATCTGTAATAGAAGTCACAGAACTAGCACTAGAATAGAATTACATTCCACAGATCCTTCATAGGTCTAAGCCAAGGATGTAGAACAGGTCATAGCACAAATATAAATACGTAGTTACAACAGCTATTTACAGATTTTTGGAACTACAGTATTACAGCAAAATAATTATGATGATAAACCATCACCATTGTTACTTACATGTAGAAGAATTACTGTGAACATAAATTAATTTATTTTTGATTTTATGAAAAGTTAATTTAAATAAAAATAACAACAACAACAAATACTTCCACCACCTACCAGCAGACTTCAGAGAGATCAGAACCATGAACCACAGCAGATACATACTGATGCAGTGAGGAGGCAAGGAGATGTGAGCAAGTGGCCACCTTGCCTTTCCACTTCAACAGGTAGACAGAGACAGAAAAACTACATAATAACAGCCAAAAAAGAAAATGGGGGGAGGGGGGAGGGAGGGTAGAGAGAGAGAGAGAGACAGAGATAAAATCTGTGAAAGTGAAACCAGTAATTGACCATGTTATGTAATGTTATGTTCTTTAGTGGTTTTGGTAGTCTGTGTGGTACAGTTACTTGTACTGAGACAGATCTGAACAGGAGCACAGGTTTAACAACTGAAAGCAACAAAGGCTCTCTCCTACAAAAATTATAAAACTTCAAAGTTTAATTCCCACAAAGGTAAGTTTCTGCAAAAAAAATGTCGGGAAACTACCTTGAAAGCAGATTAAAGAGTTTGGATAAGATACTACTAATCTTAATTTTGTTTCTCAACTGAAAAATGTGTGGGAAAAAAACACAGCAACATGTTACCTGATTGGTAAATACCTCCTCTGCAGTCAAAGTGCATAAACCCAGCTGTAACGAGCTAAGCAAAAATCATTGCTATGGACTGATGAAAACAATGGTAAAGTTAGTGGGAAATCTGTGAGATGGCTGTGGGGATTCTTTTCTCAGAAAATCCTACATAAACATGTGGGTGAAACCAGCACATTGCAACTTCATAGTTTCACTGTAATAAAACTGTTATAATTATTACCAGCGGACTTTAAATACAGACCAAGAGAAGTTATTTGGCTTCAGAATGAGAAATTAAATAATAAAGAACTTCATGATACACCAGACTGTGGATTCTGGGTTAACAATGTGTAGTCTTATAGGTAGGTACCAATGTTCTGCAGCAACATAATGCCTCCATCTTACGATATAGTCTGTCGATGAATATTGCAAAGATTCATGAAAAGAACCGTCTATGAAGAAATGATCTGACAGAAAAACCGCCTTAAATTCCAGAATAATAATTCAAGAAAAGTCATCAATATGGAATGTTAGTATAAATAGTGTGGAGTTAAGCTGTGACAAGGAAATATACATACAGGCATTCTAAGAGAAAACTTCAGGTAAAATCATGACATTTACCTGGACAATTTTTATACCAGAGTTAGGCCAGCAAAATCTCTTTTAGAAAGGAAGAAATATGTGGCATTCTGTGGACTAAAAGATGCATCCCACAAGACCTCAAGAAGGAGTCAGACATGATAAAGTAACATGTGTTATTCAAAATAACAAATGTAGATGGGGCAAACCAATACATATGTTATTACTAGATACAACTGTTCAATAATCCAACAATATGCCGCTCAACCTTCTGAAGCACGCAGTGTTCGATGCTCATTTTTTTGTGAACCAAAACTACAGAGTAATATACGAGACACTACTGCACAAGGTAAAGAACTGTGGATCTCACAAGTAAATAATGCAGATGAGTTCAGCTGTGAGGGAAATGAAGTATTGCAAAACACAGATACATTTGTAAATTCATCATTTCTGTTATGATACCGCTACAGCTGTAAGCATTTTTCTCAATACTGATCTACAGAATCTCAAAATTAAACAAATTATCTCCATATTAATGCTTGTAACATATTTGTGGCACACCAGTCCACAAAGTGTTAATATAAATAACTGGACGCAAATAAAAATCACTGGGCTTCGCAAAATCCACGTCATGGGCGAGAAAATTCCAAGAATGTTACGAAAGAAAATGGAATTTTTAACAACTCTATACACGACACTAATTAGTGCAAGAAACAGTTGTAGGCACCCACACTTTGCTTTAATAAGTGATCCCATAGGTACTTATTACACAGCAACGTGAAACACCTCCGCTAAAAGCCACCTTGAACCAGAGTTTCTTTGAAGGTGACCCCATGACTATGTCATTTGAAACAACACAACACCTTGTGTCATACAGAAATCACTTACCGGGTCATCGCATTTCCACTTCAGGCACAAGCTCAGACATTATTCAAGACCCATGCTGTGACTCTACAGCTGCTCATTAATAATCACATGTAACACTGCAGACATTTCTGTGACTGAAAACCTTAAGACAAATACAGAAATTGAAAGCATATTAATGTTAAGCAGTAAGATCATTAGAAAGACAAGATAAGAGGTAATGATGGAGAACAAGTAGGGGTAATGGGACTCAAGAATACATGGTGAATGTAAGAAATATTTACCATACTTACACAATAATAAATGCGCATAATTCCATTTTTTGGCAGCAATATTCTGATGCTTATTTGCTTCACACACTTCAGGAATCCTATTTTATGTAACAATTATGACAGAAGGAAACACAAAATACTTGTTAAAATGGAAAAATTATTCGCATAAATAATAAATGTGTAGGAAGGTTTACTTTACATGTGATGCTGATATGAGGGTAACAAAATATGTGAACTTCATTACAAAGTAAATGCTTCATACATTTAATTTAAAATGTATACATTTATTTACAACTTGTACACAAAATCCTTCATTTAACCATGTCCTTGCTGTCCAGGTCCATGAGGATGTTACATAAAAGGTTCAATACAGGACTCTGGAAGCAAGACAAATATGCTTTGGTAAAATACAATAAGGGTAGCCATTATTAAATATCTGCAAAATATGAATTACTTGTTTTACTTAAATATTTTATAGAAAGTCCTATAATAATGTTCCATTTATATTTTTATAAGCACCTTAAAGCATTAATATTTAAACTCCTGCTTACAGATCCCTCCCTAATATAACTTCTTGCACACGCCAATATCACCAGCCACGAATCTTCTCTTAGCAGTCAAGGAAAAATGAACTAACATTTCTGAAGACCTTTTCAACATTCCTCAACAACAGACAAAACGTCCTTCTACGCGCAGAATTGTTATCCCACTTGTGCCTTTTCTCTCCTCTTTCGCATTCCATCCTTTCATTACTTGTTTTCCACTCACTAATTCCCTTCTTGATTTTTGTCATCCTTTTTCCTGTCGTTGCAAATTACCATGTATGTCCCAGTCACTCCCATTCTGCCACTTGCAAGTCTAGTTTTTTTGTGCTGTGTCATTCCATTTAGTGTGTTTACAACGTTAATTTACTTTAACAGGTTTCAGTTTTAAGTTTTATTATTTAATAGCGCTATGTCTGTTTCCAAGGTTATCATTTAAGAAACCTATAAGAGAATAATGGAAAGGTTGGTGGAACAAGAAAAACCCTGTCTGCATCCAGAACTTGATCTGTTCGCTAGCCACAAGAGCCGCCTATTGCTTTCTAAAGCAATTAAAGGATGAACATTACTAATTCCAGTGAAACTTCCTCCCACAGATAAATAACTTCAAGGCCACATTGCCACAAAACAAAAATATCCTTTCAAAACAAGTTCTTGGAACCCTAAGTACATTATTCAAAACAAGCTGGTAAGGAGACGCTGCAGCCAATTTTTTATCATCCACACACTGCTCAGTAGCAGCACAGTCTCCTGTCAATCTTGTCACATTCATTAACACACGTCATCCCATTTGCATTACAGAGTGAAGGCGTATGTAATTGGATAAACAATGCCAATATCTCAACTACCAGTAAGCCCTGAAATCCAAATGACACTCCCACAAAAAATAAATTTTCCACATTTCACAGTTGGGGGGAGGGGGTTTGAACACATCCACTTCCCGTAGCAAAACACCCAGTCTTTCATAGTGCATCACACACCTCTAGTTAACATATGGGACAATATTCTTACAGTCCTGTACCATCCCACCGCAGAATTTTGGTAAAGAAGTATTGTTATGACATTTAAGATTTCCATGGCAATAAAATGCAGTCTTCTGGGTTGTGACAGCATGTCTTGCAACTGGTTACCAGTTCCAAGGAAGATATCCCCTCCAACTTTAGGGTAAAAACCACCCCCACCCCACCATTAAATTCACGATGTCTCCTTTGGGGACAATGGATCTGATCACCAAACTGTGAAATAGAAAACAATTTGACACCCTGATGAAAGAAGCAGTATGTTCCTCGAAAATGTTGGTAACCAGCTATAAGACTGCATGGCCTCACGACCCAGAAGAACACAATCCACAGATTATATTTATTGTCCAAGTACTTCTGGTAAGGTTAACCACTCCGAAATTCAGACTCAGCGTAACGCACTGCTCATGATAAAAGCAGTTGGACAGTAAACAGCACAAATAAATTCTCATTCAGTGTCTCATTTGGGGTGTCACTGAAACACTGAGAAATCAAGAACAGATTGGGTGACCCACAGAAATTGAAACTAAATGGAAGAAAATGTTAAAAAGCAGAACATTCAACAAGAATTTCTATACAGTTTATGCAAGACATAAAAGTCATGTTTTTGGGCTGGAGTGTACATTCCAGGAGGTAACCTTGGGAAGTTTTTGCCTTCTACTTTTGTTGTTGCATAATTAACATTGCTCTTTCATCTACAGAGCAGCAGGAGTGGTTTCTGCAGGTGAATGGCCCATCCACACACTTAACTGGTCTGTCATGCACAAAAACATTCTAATGCAAATTGACGTTGCAGTCATGATGCAAAAAACAGATGTGTCTAATCCTGAATAACAATGCGGAGAAAGGTGAACATAGTATGTTCAAATGATACAACAGCTTGGGACAATCCAGTCTGATTCTTTTCATACCAACTCAATGCAGCACAATCACTGAAAAGGTGGTCAAGAAATTGCATGCCTTTTACAAAACCGGAAGGTTCATTACCTAGTTCACAACAGCCAACCAATGGACCCTATCTTGATCCAGATGAATCCAATCCATATCTGCATCTCCAATTTCATTGAGATCCAGTTGAATATTACTTTTCAATCTATGCCCAGGGCTCTAAAATGCTTTGTTCCTTTTGACGTTTTCCAACCAAAATTCTGAGTGCAATTCGCAACTCTCCCATGTATACTACATGTCCCACCCACCTCATCCATCTTTATTTGGTCACCATAATACCTGGTGAAGAGTACAAATTAGAGCTATTTATTATGCAATTTAACACTGTGGGATGTAGACTACGTTACTTCAAGCCTCTTTTAATATAAAAAAATGGATGTCCATCATAAGTTGTTACCCACAGGAACATGAAAAAACAAGTATTTTCACAATCTCTGTCCAAAGACTTGTTTCACCTGGCACTAAAGATGACAAATGTACATAATGTTGTAATGCCAAGTACTCACTGACCAGTAGCAACACATCTTAGCAATGCCATTAAGAAATAACAACATTACAACCTTCTGTACCGCTGATCTGGAGGACACACCTCATGTTTCCTGTATCCCAAGGCTGGCTGAAAGTTTCGCCAAGCCATTCCTGTAGAGCAAATAAAAACAAAATAGTATCCGGAGGTGAGATTTAGTAAATACAGTTACGAAAAACAAGGATTTGTTTGCTTAGATGAGGAACTAACTACCAGATGTTATGAGGCAGCAGGCAAACTGCTTAAGTTCTCAGCAAACAAATTAAAATGAACTAACCTCAATCCCGGATCATATCCAACACCTCTCCTCAGTTCTACTGTTTTAATCACATCTTTCAGCTGTGGCAAACATTTCGCCATCAGCTCAGGACACAGCTGAGCCAAACATGACGACAGTCTGAACAGGTGGGTGGACGAAAACGCCAGATGTTTGTTGCAGAGCATCATAAAAATTGAAAGAAACGATTCCCTGAAAATTTCCATTTCCCCGTGTTAGAATGAACACTGAAAATCCACGCTTCATATTTCAGAATCATGCAATATTCACTAGAACAAGAAATCACATAACATAATTTTTTATATGATAGAAGGGGGCGGGAAAGACAATGTCACAGTTCATTTATTGTGTTGATAGGGAACAAAGAAACGGCAATTTTTAGGATCCACGCCAACTTTCTCTGGCATATATGAAAGGATTAACTGTGCATGGAGGTGATAAGTTCCACCAAAAACACCGGTAATCAACTACAAGGCTACGCAGCGTCCTGACCCAGAACACCAAGAAGCAATACTGACATATTTACATACCTCATATCTACATTCTGTTTAAAGATGTCACTACTAGCAATTGTTCTTATAAATGCTACAGCTTGCTGTCTGGCAATATGTCCCTCTTCTGCAAACATTGCCAGTTCAAAAATCTTCAACAGTGAACAGTTAATAATCAGGTTCACCAGATCTGCACTAAATTTTTTCAAAGTGATCAAGTCCGTCAAAAATCCCAATGCCTGCAAAACAAATACATATTACACGAAGTCTTGCAGACGGAGGGCTCTATGTATTTAAAACAGTGGAGGGAGAAGGAGATATAAAAAATTCTGGACAATACACACAAGATCATATCACTTACCAATACAGCGTGTTCATGCGGCACACTCCCTCTGCGAGTGAAGAATCTGTCCGACAAGGATTCCAGAACAAACCTCCAAATTTCTGGTTTCTCGCAGACCGTAAAACACTTTAAAAGAGGGTGAGTTGTAAAGGCTCCTTGGATATTTACACCACTTCCAGTTTTGGCCACTAGTCTCGGTAAGTACTGAGCGACAATGTCCCTTAATATCCGAGCTATAAAATCGTCTTGCTTTGGGTTCAACTTGGATATCCCAAAAATAAACTGATGTAATGTCTTTCTTATTGCTGAGGCTATGAAAGGATGTAACTGGGTTTCTGGCTTGTAAATGGCATGTGGTAGAAGCAGAAGATTAACAATTGATGGCAACAAGCAGTTCGGTTTTGACTGAAAATAAGCAGATAATGAACATTTAAAAACAGAAACATGTGTGTATGTATACAGAGTCCTCCCAAAAAGATGTGCCAGTTTTGATTGCATTCATTTTTATTCTAGACTTTACTATTGTGATTAAATGGATCAGAATGTTGGACTCCAATTAAAAATTGCAACACACTCAATGAACTGAATGAAATGAAGGAATATTGAAAGCTACGGAAGAAGTGAACATATCAAAAATAAAATTGAAGAAGAACTGGACATATGCCATTCTTCACAAAATAGATTCTTGTGAACACAGCAATGAATCTTCAGATTCCATGGAGACAGATTTACTGGCTAGCTAAGCAACTATCAGCTTTTCAAGGAGGACTCTGCAACATAAAGTTAGTAAACTGCATACCTTTCTTTCATTATGGACATTCACCTTGGTATATAGAATGTGCCCACAGTGACGCACCAGGCAGGCAGCAGACGTGTAGGTCCTACTGACAAGTTCACTGCTTGATGTCGCACAACTGACCACAGAGCTCACACACTTGTCAACCTGCATGAAGTACAGGCCACATTTCTCGTGGAATGCTACCTTCCTGTGGATATCCTGCAGACTCTGGTACCTGAGCCCCACTAGTTCGATAAACGTGAAAAGGGGATCGTCTGCGTTGGACAGACTGACTGCTGATGTTTGACACAGATCCTGAATTGCAGGCAGTTGCTCAATAATTCTTGATAAATCTAACATATCCCCTGATGATTCATTAACAGATAATATACAACACCTGCAAGAAAAACCACACACACAGCTACGAGTAATCTTCTATGCCTTATAAATGAAATCTGCCAGAGACAATTTCAATTAATACACGCATTTGCTCAGATGATAATTTTGATTGTGAAGCCATGGAGGACCTATGAACAGATAGAAGGATAATACAAATTTTTATTATAGAAAAATAGGGTACAACAGAGTGTGGACTGGATTAATTTGGTTCAGAACATGCATCCTGTGAACACGGTGATAAAGTTCCGGACTTCATAAAATGCAGCAAAACTGATTAATATAAGAACACTAATATATAATGAATGTTTTATCTTGCATTATGTACGCAATTAACTCTTCGAGCATGAGGAGAGTCCCATTAGTCTAGACCTTTCCATATACACAAGAGGTACGAATGGAGACTGGTGTTTCGGAAACAGCATGCAGAGACGTGAAGCAAACTGAATGACAAAGCTCAGTGCCACGTCCTTCACAGAGCAATGACAAATCTGTAACTTCCATAATACAAAGGCGTAAAAATACATAAATCACATTAGTATCAGTGCTAACAAAAACTGAAAGGTACAGATGAACAAACATCGCCATACCTGACCCAAGCTTGAACTACAATGCTTTCATAGTTCTTCGATGGATCAATCACAATTCTCATAACAGCTTCCTCCTGCAAAACCAGACACAAGTAACGCTTCAGTAACTTGACGTTCATCTTCTCTGAGCTCACAAAGGACATGAACAGCTGGTCAAATGAGTGAGTCCAGAAGTCTGGCTGCTCCAGTGACAGAAGAGTGAAACTTGCTGCTAAGTCTGCTACTTGAAATGGAGGCTGAGCGATAGCGTTTGAACACTGAGCCTGTATGTACGGCAAAACGTGCTGCACCAACGCTTCTGCCATCTTTCTTGGCTGGCTGCAGTCAGCAGAATCCTCATCCATAATGCAATTCAGAGACTGGCGTAACTTTGTTAAAATGGAGACAATTGTATCCAGAAGTCGATAAGAATCTGAGACCAAGCCATTTCTTGACAAGTAATGTGTTATCCAGCCACCTGGAATGGAGACAACTCTAGTAATTCAGCTGCACACGTGCTCTGCCTAAGCATGACGTGATGAATGTTTACAGTGGGTCTTGCGATAAACCCAACACATTCCAGACAAAGGCATTATGAAAATACGTCCAACACTTGAGTTACTACAAGAGGACACACAGATTGTTAAAAAAAACTTATGGGTTTATGGAACACAGGATGCACATGCCTATTCTAACATAATGTTCTTCAAAGGCCATTATGTTAAAGTTTAACCATGCACAGAGCACTTTGTGATTAACAGACACATTAATCTTAACCAGTGGCTAATGTCAAGAAAGGAGATTATGTACAAGGAATGAGAAAGGACTGGGAAGGAAGTGACTGTGCCCAGTCTTCAAAGGATCTGAGTCACAATGGCTTGCGACACAGGCAAGATTCAAACCAAATACCCCTTTGTTGCCAGTCAACTGCAATATTGCCGTAGTTAAACTGATGAGACAATAAAGATATCATACTTGTTGACCTGTACAGCTATTGCACTTACCTATAAGTGAGTGTTCAGACAGATTCAAGAACTGATTCAAACCAATTATATCTTGAATGCCTTCAACAAATGTTCTCATGAGCACCATCGTGCTTGCAGTTTTGTGAGTGCACAATTCCGAGACAATCGACTGCAGCGGAGATGATATGTCTGCGATGTCCAACCCTGCCAAGTGTAAGCACAGAAGCACTGAGCCGAGCGATGATAATTGAACGAGGCTGGGCTGGGGCTGAACCATACCAGAGCTGAGAAACAGGTGAAATATAGACAACAGAATTTCCGATTACCTGTGAAGATTTCTGATTATTTGGTCCACTGCTTATTTTAGCACTGTGATTCAACTCTGGCATGGCACCACTGATTTAAGGCGCAGAGCTGCCACCTTGATATGATTTAATGATGCTTGTTCAACCCGTAATATTTTGTCATATCTAGTAAACTTTAAGCAAGTGCAGAAACTAAAGACAGCAGGTGGTGTCCTCAGTCAGACTTGCAACATCAGCTGCCTGTAATTCCTGTATTCTTAATTAAACAAAAATCAAAGCCAGTTCACTAATTAAAATAAAGTTGAGATTTCAGGTTCTCATTGTAGCGAGAAGAAAATAAAAGTTAACTTAAATTTACTTCCTGTAATTCTGTAAATGTAACAGCTATGATCAAGGTCTAAAGGAAAGCCTGAAAGACGTTCAGTGATGCACAGGAGTTTAGTGCCTGAATCACTACAGTAATATGTCTTCAAGTTAAATAAAATAGCTGTGATGTTGTTACCTCACCTCTTTCAATATACAGTTGCATTAGAGCAAAATTGGCCTTCATATTCACAAGCTGACGATTCAGGTCAAGTGATTCTATGGGCAACAGGCTTAGTAGATCTTGAAGTTTCTTACCCTGAAAGTTATACCACATATTAATTTAGCAAAAAGTTCGTACATGTACCATTTAATATTCTGATAACTTGTGTTCTTGATACATTACAACCAGGATGTATAACCACATGTCTATGTACCCTTTTTCCCCACGAGTATTTTGTGAAGACCAATTACGTTAATGCAAGGACACACACGGATTCTTGTAAAAGAAAGTGTGCATTTTATTGCAAGATATCGATATAATCAATGCACTGATGGAGCATATACAACTGACATGCTGCCAATCTGGCTTGTACACATGATACTAAATATACACCTAACAAAAATTCACCTACGTCAACCACTACACACTGGTGCTGCCATAC